GGGAGCCATCCTGGATTCCTGCCTACTACATAAATAAAATACTGAGTACCTACTGAAGTGCCCAACACGGTCCGATTCATTCCCACCTTTGAGTAAAAATGGCACTTTCCAAGTTTGACCTATAGGGAGACTAAAGCTCGGGGAAATGAAGTAATTTGTGTAACTAGTAAAGAGAGTGATCAGGATGCTAACTTAGATCTGCTGGCCTCCAAAACCCCGCTCTCCGTTTTGCCACACTGTCTCTGACCCACCCTGCTGCTTCTACCTCTTTTCCAATGTATTTGCTCTCCCCCAACCTCACTGTCCTGGCTGTAGGCCATCCTCACCCGCCCCTGGCACTATTGCAGCAGCCCCCTGTGTAGTCTCCCCACCATTGCTCTTACCCCTCTCCAGACTGTTCTCCACGGCCCTAAAGTGCAGCTTGGCCATGTCACTTCCTGCTTGAAAAGCTTGACTACTTGAATCGCTTCTGTTGGTTCATACTGTAATACAAATATGTCAAAGGCTAACACGGGCCAAATAAATGAGGCTTGTGGCATGTGGCCCGTGAGTCTGACATGCTTGCTATAATACATAGGTTACAAGGCATCCATCTGTGGCTTTGCTTGCAACTCTGACGTCATCTCTCACCTCTGTTTGAGGAGAGTTACCACATGTTCCCTCTGCCTAGAACACTCTTGACCTCTCTTCATCTGGCTAATTCTACCCAGTTTTCAGGCCTGGGTTAAATGTCACTTCCTCCAGAGGCTAATTAGGTGAGATGTTCCTATTGCATGTTCCTGTAGCATCCAGTACTTTCCCTATAATATTGTTACATTCTATTATCAGGATATATTGATCTGTGTGTCTGATTCCCAATATCTGGCAGAAAGTGGATACTCTAATAAATATTTATTAAAAAGCTAGAGGCCTGGTGCATGGATTCGTGCACCAGTGGGGTCCCTCGGCCTGGCCTGTGCCCTCTTGTGCTCCGGGACCTGTCGGGGGAATGTCAGAGGCCCGGTGCACAGATTCAGCCCCATCCCCGCAGGCCAGGCTGAGGGACCCCAGCGGTGCACAAATCCGTGCACCAGGACTCTAGTATGCATATAAAATCTTTGGTTAATCTCTTCCTCTCCTCCCCTTCCCTCTGAGGTTCATCAGTCTGTTCCATGTTTCTATGCCTGTGTGTTGAGCATCTGCCCCCTGGTGATGAGTGTGCGTCATAGCTACCAGTCGATCAGTCACTTAGGCTTTTATAAATATAGATGAATGGCAAAGTACTTTGATAGGTTATTTTTTTGTGTTGCCTTTGAAATCTTTGCTTTTCCTTCTTTGTCATTGAAATATTTTTAATATCACCTATCAGAAGAGCTCTCCACTTCTTATATGTTTTATTCAGGATCAAATAATTAGTATAAGGGAAAGCTGGGGAAAGATGGCGGGCCTTTAAGCTCTAAAGTTAATGTGTTTTCCACTATTTTGTGCTGCTTAACTGCCTTAGAATGTGAGCTCATCCTCTTAACTATTCACCCTACCCAGTGCAGGTACTCAATAAATACTAGTTTATTTTCTACATAACTGAATAAAGTCCTTTAGAAGAGTTTTAAGAGAAACCCTTTCTTTATTAAGTGGATTTGGAGTAATATATTGGCCAGGAGCTGTGTTTAATTTTGTAAAGTTTTAATTTTATGTTATAGCCTGGGGGAATAGGGAGCATGAAAACTTTTATAGTATTATATAGTGTTTGAGAAAACATTGTTAAAACTCCATGCATGTTTAAAAGTATGACCAAATGAGCTATGAACTCTCTCAAGAACATATTCTTTCTATTGTCAATATTTAATAGTGAGATTGATTCTATAGTTGAGAAAGATGTGGCTAAGTATAGACTTCCACAAATTCTTTCGTCATGTTTTCCAGTAATTGGCAGGCCTATGGCTAAGCTATTTTAAAAGATTAGTTTAAAACGTTTGAAGCTGAATTTGTAACAAACATGCCACAGTTTTCATATCCAAAGAAGTTCTTGCTGTCTCCTTGAAAGCACTTAACTTTGAAAGCTATCAGGGAAGTTTCTGTTTCTCAGAATGGCTTCAGAATTGCTTTTGTTCATTATTTTTTAATTTTTCAATTATTTGACATACACTATTATGTTAATTTTAGGTATACAACATAATGATTAGACATTTATGTAACTTATGAAGTGATTCCCCAGATAAGTCTAGGATCTATCTGACTCCATGTGTAGTTACTACAATATTATTCACTATACTAGAGGCCCGGTGCACAAAAATTTGTGCACTCGGGGGAGAGGGGGGTCTCTCAGCCCGGCCTGTGCCCTCTCACAGTCTGGGACCCCTCGGGAGATAACGAAGTGCTGGCTTAGGCCTGCTCCCGTGTGGCAGAGGGCAGGCCCAATCCCTAGGTGCAGCCCCTGGTCGGGCTCAG